AGGATCCAATCCCGTTAATGAATTTATTATTGAAATACTAACACAAGAGGCTTATAGGCTACATGCTCACCTTTTTTTTGCTCAATTTAATGCCTGAATGTATTTCATGTAGGTTATAGAATAACTGAATGGGTTTTTCATTACCCATGCAGAGGGGAAGGTTCAGAGGCAAACACTTATGTGCGGGAATTACTGTGTTACGACAGCATCTAGTTTTAAAATTGACTTTATTTTCCATGAAGATTGAAAAAGGACTCCCCCGAGACAAATTTTCGAAAAAACTTGCTTTTATGATGGAAACTTATTTGGTATTATCATGGAATTAAAGGAAGACCAAAGTCAGGACCACGAAGTGTTATATCAATCTCTGAAAGAATTTTAAAAAGAAAAAATGACACTCAAATAAAATACTAATCCATTGTTGTTTCAATAAAAATTCAAACATCAAGGTCATAAAATGCATGGTTTAGAGAAACCTTTGGTCTTACTTCTGTATTGTAGCAAACAAGTAAATGGTAATCATGGTGACAGTTATGAATTGTGAAATGTCTCTTGAATCTCAGGGCCCAGAATTCTGCGCAAGATTGAGCTGAACGTACACTAAAAATTTTTTCTTATTGCAATTAAATTTTTATGATGGAGTTGACAGATTTTTATGCATTGCATACATGTATCTAGATCTTGTATGGACTTTGAAAGGCAAGAGGCATTTTATATTAAAATGATTTATGTTCTAAATGAAATAAACCTTTGATAAAGAAAAAGCTTTTGATATAATTCTTTTAATTAAATATCCAGTGAATCATACTTTATGATTTTCTTTTTCATACAGAACCCTGTAATACTGGAGATTGGCAGTGCTTTGGTACTAAACTCTGCATTAATGGTTCATTATATTGTGACGGACATAAGAACTGCCCTAAGGGGGATGATGAAGATGTCTGGCGGTGTCACCCACGACAACCAATGGATCCCTACCTTATGGGCTGCACTATGATCGTTATCTTAGTGGTCGTTTTCGCTGGTCTACCATCGCTCACTCTTCTACAGAAGCTGGCTCAATAAAACTTTTCTTTCTATGCTCCAAGATCAATGACAATGGGAGGGGGCGGGGGTAATGGTTCTGTCCCTTTCTTTTTTTTTGGGGGGGGGGGGTCAAAAGTTTTGAAGTCAACAACATTGAGGCTTCATTCTTCGATATGAATAACTAGTAACCAGATCAGTGGTGGATCCAGAAATTTCAGAACTGAAGGGGGGGGGGTATTTTTTTCTGACAAGCAAAAAATGGGAGGACTTCTCATCATGAATAGGCCTCTTTCCTTCATATTTAACATTAATAATAAAAAAAATATCCGTGTTTCCGGAGGGGGGGGGGCATTATATTTTATATTTTGCTTTATCAATTTCAATAGCTCTTAATATCATTGGAGGTCCAGACACCCTACCCCCGGGGAAACAAAATATTTCACAAAAACGTCAAAGACATCTTAGTGATTTTTTCTTTATTTCATTTTTCGTGGCTTAGATAAATTGTATTGCATTCATAAAATTAAGAAAATTACAAATTTTAGAAGTGTGAAGTTATTTTTTTCAAAATAATTGACATAATGAAATAATTAATTTGGAACATAGTGTTTTCCTCTAGTATAACCCGACAACCCGCAACTCCTTGTTGACGGAGAGAAGGTGTTAAACATTGTATACTGAAGAATTGTATACGGAACTGTAAATATTGTGATCAAAGTTATGGTTCATTATATATTATTATTTTTTCATACCAATTATTTTATGTATCATAGACATACACTGCCAGCTCTTAAGGCAGTGTGTGATTAAGACCACTCTGTCAGCATTCATACTACATTTACGGCAGATAATCCCAAATATACTCGTACATGTTTAACATATTCAGTCATTTATGTGTAAAAGTATTTTGCTGTGTATGTTTGTTTATTTTTTAACGTCCATCTCGAGAATTTTTCACTCATATACCACTTGCCGGTGGAGGGCTGCATTTTGACCAATACTTGGCACTCAGGACCATTGGGCAGTGAGGGATCTTTATCGCGCCAGCACCTACTGTGACACGGGACCTCGGTTTATATGATCTCATTCGAAGGACCAGCCTCCACATCCCGCAGTGGATTCGAACCTGCGACGTAAGGATTAACTCCTTACATCGCGACTGTAGAGCAAACGCTCTAACCACTGCGCTACGCGGGCGACCTGTATATGTTAAATAAGTAATTAAATTATGAAATGTTACCTGTGGACTAAATTGAGTATATACAAGTTAAACAAACAACATTTCAACAGCAGCAAAATTCAAACGGGGGGGGGGGGGGGGGAGGAGGGGGGCTGCTGGATCCGCCTTTTCAGAGAGTGTGTCATGACCCATGTCGAAGGTCAGAAGAAATCAAGGCCACTGGGAATTGTTCTTTACGTTGTATATTGAATTCTTGACGAGTCCAACACTTTGAAATAGAGACACGTTAAAGTTCATACTTGAAGCAAAAGCAGTTAACCTCAGGCGGTTGTCATGATACTGATGTCACTTGGACAAGGTCAATGTCAATTTGTCTCTGTTCTAACTTGGTCAGTCGCCCGCGTGGTGCAGTGGTTAGATCGTCTGCTCTAGAGTTGCGTAGTAAGGAGTTGATCCTTACGTCGCGGGTTCGAATCCCACTGTGGGACGTGATGACCGGTCCTTCGGATGAGACCGTATAAACCTAGGTCCCGTGTCGGAGTAGGTGCTGGCACGAAAAAGATCCCTCACTGCTCAATGGCCATAAGTGCCGAGTATAGGTCAAAATTTGTAGCCCTCCACTAGTGGTGGCGTCCCCATACGAGTGAAAAATTCTCGAGAGGGACGTTAAACAATAAACAAACAAACAATAAATGCCGTTCACCCAAGGGCTTTGAGGCAATTTTGTTTAAAATAGCCCAACGTTCTTGAGAAGAAGAAATTGTGAAAAAAAAATTGTGACGAAAACAATTCGTTTTACATGAGAAGTGTTTTACACTAAAAATAAAACGCTTTGTATTTCTAAATATTTTATCACACCTCTAGTATGTTTCTTGTTATTTAAATAAGAAAATGATGATTAAATCCTGACTGGTTCAATTTTGTACAGGCCCATGTATGATAATAATACCCTGTGGGGTATGCTTATCTGTCTGTAACAAGTCAGGTGATGGTCCAAAGTGAGTAGTTTTCAAAGTAGTGTTTCTTGATTTATTTCTCAGTATGTCAAAATATTACTAACTGTGTGTTCCTAACATATTCTTTTCCTTCTTTCACGAGAAAACTGTATGACAAGTCATGAGTTGAGCCCAGGAGGGCTATTAACGACGGTTTTGACGGTTTTAGAGAATGTTTTGTTGTGGAAATAGTTAAAGAATATCTTAGAAACACACAGTCAGTAATATTTTGAGATGGCAGCGGAAATATATTGAGAAATAAATCGAGAAACAGCGCACTTTGTGTGCGCAATGAATATACACTTTTTTTCAATGGGTGGCACTGTAGCTTTCTGGTCGTCCATCCCAATTTGTTTAGACCAGTGAACTGCAGCTACTAATTCAGCTACTGCAACTAAGCTTAATCAATTTTAAGAGATTGTGCTAGACCTGTTTAACCTTAAGCATTCTTAAAATATTCAGATCATCATTCCTGATTCAAGGAAGGGCTAGGAATACAAGCATGACCAGAAGTCTACGACCTATTGACAAATAAACATGTGTATTGTAAGAGGAGTAAATAATGATGACAAGTGAGAAAAGGGATTAATATTCAAAATTTTAGGAGTTTTCAACATATAAGACCATGCAGAGATAACTCTTTCCCCTTTTTCCCCTTCCCAACCCCATGTACATTGTATACACCAGTACTTTGTTTTGACTTAAAAATTGTGAATACGAGAGTTGATCCAAAATTTCGTGGAATTGTTTTCTAAAATTTTATTGTGACATGGATAAAGCAAACAAGACATATCTATAAAAAAAAAAAAGAGCCATTCTGCAATAGTACTGGAATTTATTTACAGTATTCCAATTACCATTAAGATCACACGAGCTTTCTTAACATGGACAGTTGTAAAATCCGGGGAGACTTTGACGTAGCGTCAAGTTAGATATGTCACGTCACGTTCTATAGGAGCATCTCGCCCTCACGTTCAAAATGACTTAGAAATTATACGGAAGACTGCATTCTCTTCTCCATTTCTGCCTTCCAGGAAAGCCTGGGTACCAATCTTACCTCCACTTAATTTCTTCATATTACGATCAGATACGCTCTGTCGTTCCATATGATGTTTCGATTTCAGTAGCAATGTCAAGCACAGTGCATAGGCGGTTCACGTCCATTAACGCTCTCAATTTGTCCACGAGGAAAAATCGACCTTTCGATAGGCTACTAGACCTTTCATTATCATCATCGGAAGTTCAATTTTCTTTAAATTTCTTACGCCACTTGAAAACCAGTTGCTTACTGTACTTTTTGTTCTGCCTGTATCACTAATATATGCGTCTGAGACTCTGAGTCAGAGTGTATCCGAGACTTATTAACTGACCGAATTTCGACGTTGTCAAACTACGTCATGATGATGAACAAATCATCATTTGAAAAACTAAATATCCATTTAGCATTCGATGTTTTGTAATATATATATATATATTTTTTTTTACATATTTTTCTTATTAGAAAATATAACCCCATATCTAATAATTAATAATTACCCGAAACTTGATAATACTTAATATATTGTACAAATCCCCCAAGTTTTGTTTACAATTTTCCCCCGTGGTTAAAGAAACTGAAAAATAATTAATTGTACATTGTTATTTTATGAAGAGAGTGTATGAGATAATATTCACAGTGATCTAAGAGGTTTCTATTTTCTAAGCAAGTGAGTTAAAATTGTGCAGATACACCTTTTATTTCGTAGTTCACTTGACAAAAAATAAATCAACAACATTTTCAAAAGAAATCATTATTTATTCTTCAAAAATTCAGTGTAAATATTTGAAAATCACACAAAAAAGCAAATGGAAAAAAAAATGAAAACGATTTATGACCTTAAACTTCAATGAATTATAAAATAAATATATAAACATTTTTCAATATGTCTTTTTTATTTCTAGAAAAAAACGCACAGATTCTGAAAGGAGAGGAAATTTATGGCACGTGTCCTCTTAAAAGAGATAAATACTTGATAACTCTACTGGTATGATAAATTAATATCTACAAGTTGATATTCCGAGAAATTCAAAGGGAACAACATACATGTATTAGCCCGGTACCCGAGGCCTGTTGAAGTTCTAGAATAAGCACGAATGTCCTGGGTACCAGGCACGCAACATATCTGAAAATACAAAGTAATACAATGTTGTTTGTGCTATCACACTACCAGTTTGCAACTCTACATTGTTTCATTAAACCTAATATTTAAAAAATATATATATACAACATATTAAAGAAAATGTTGTAAAAATGAATTTAATGAAACAAGCATGATCACAAAAATGCAAAGTTTAAGTCAAGCATTCCTATGACCCCTGTATTGTACAATATGTAAATATTCACAAACATTAATAGAGTGACCCTGTTCACATATCACACATAAAAATTTTTTAAAAAAAAATGGGCATGGACATAAGTTGTTCATGAGATAAGGTCAAACTGAAGTCAGATGTGGGGTTTCGCAAACTGGCTAAACAGTCTATATCCGCTGATACAATATTCAGTTACGGTATACTGAAAGGTTTTTCCTAGTGTGCGCAGATAAAAAAAAAATATCCGAAAATTAAAAATATCTATATTATGAAATGTCAGTTTTCATTTCTTACTTCACTTAACAAAACAAATAGGAAAATAGAAATCATAGTTTATTCTTCAAACAGTCATTGTTTATATTAGAAAATCGAACAAAATAAAGAAAATGCATTAAGAACAACACTCAAATACGATTTATGATTTTAAACTTCAATGAATTATAAAATAAAAATACAGTGTATTCACATTCCTGAATATTATGTTGAAAAAAAAATGCACAGATTCTTAAAGGAGAGGCAATTTATGGCACTTGTTATCTTAAAAAAGACAAAAATTTTAACATTAAATCATAGAACATGTATACAGTTAAAGAATATCATGGAGGAAGTTGGCAAGATTCCAGTTCCCCGAGGTCAGGACTATTTCCCGAGGCAAAGTTGAGTAGAGGTATCAGCAGAAGTATCATAACAGAAAATACTCCAAGAAAATCAAAGAGAGCAACATATTAGCCTGGTACCCGAGGTCTGTCGAAGCACGGACCCGGGAAAGGCCTTGGGTACCAGGCAAGCAACATATCTTAGAGTAAAAAAAAAGTATTTGTATTCACAATGTTATTTGTGCTACAGTATTCCACTACCAGTTTGCAACTCTACATTGTTCCATCTAATCATTACATGAAAAAAGAAATAATTCTATGCATCATATTAAGAGAAAATGTTATAAAAATGAAGGTATTAAAACATGATCACAAATGCAAAATTTAAGTCGAGCATTCTAATGATTCATATATTGTACAAAATGTAACATATCACAAATAAAAAATGAAAAGAAAAACAAAATAAAACATGGTTCAACAAGTTGTTCATGAGATAAACTCAAACTAAAGTCAGACATCGATGTGGGATTTCGCAAACTGACTAAACAGACTATATCCGCTGATACATGACGCGGCGGCGCCTCTTCGTCCTACAGCACAGGCAGATGACAAGGAAAGGAATGATAAGGATAGCAAAGAACACTCCTACGATGATGCCAATGATGGCGGCTGCTGTGAGGTACAACGCTGCACATAGTGAATTGTACTCATCGCTGCCGTCGCCGCAGTTGTTACGTTTGTTGCAGATGAGACCGACAGCGATACAGCGACCATTTTCACAGTGGAATTCATTGGAATAGCAGGGTGCTGTAATTTTAAAAGACGTGATCAAGCCAATCGTATAAGAAAGGGGGATATGCTTACACTTGTTTTTTTTTTTAATTTTTCTCCTTATTTAACTAACTCAACAATTAGCCAGCGTAAGAAGTGAATTTCAAAATCCTTAACTTTGATTTTGATGCAAATTTGATCGCCCGCATAATAAAAACTAATAGTCTGAGTGCAGTTCTAGAACTCTCATCTTGAAAGTACAAATAAAATCCAGTATATATGTATACAGCATTTGTATTACAAGAAATTAGACTAAGCAATTGCATACCTTTGTGAAATGGAGTAGCAAAAGCCTTAAATTTGATCCCTTGTTGTAAACCATGTGATTTCAGTTCTATTCCCATCTCTTTGTGAGCGGTGCTATTGGTGGCATAAGTACTCTGATCCAAATGTCTTCCGCATAAATCCTGCTTATCTGGAAACGGAAACATAAAAACTTTCATTTAATATTTTAAAAATTATCCCTAAAAAGAAATGCATTTAACAACGATTAAAAGATAGTACAGTGGCGTTAAAGTCTTGCATTAAAAGAAAGGAAAGAAAACACATAAGAAAAATACTTACTCAATTTTTCAGAGCCATCATAAATGTTGATACTATTATTTAGACATGCTCCTTCAATTCGTGGGGACAGTCTTATGTAATCAATCGTTAGAACCATCCCTGATTGGAGTATTTCTGAATCTGTTCTGTTGGTAATGGTGGGTCTGAGATTCATTCTACAGTCAGTGATGTTTATAGGTGTAGACTCAGGAGCAAGCCTCACAATGCTTTCTTCAGAGATGTTTACGAGTTGATCACATTCTTGTGTAACATATACTGAAAATTTAAATTCCAAATTGAAAAAAATTTTTTTTTTTCAAACTTGGATAAAATAAAAAAAAAAGTAATGCTAAATAAATAACACACACACACACACAAAACATATAAGTTACATGTTGCATACAGGGAAGAATTTGTTTCGTAGAATCCTAACCTATAAACTTTCAAAAAATTGTAACATTTCGTTCACTTTTTTAATGCAGGGAAATACTGGTTTTTGTAAATCCGAACAATTCTGACAATAAAGTTTTAAAATGTTTTCCTTTAAATTCCCCATCAATCCTGTTAGTAGGCCCGCAAAGAGACAATGTACTCTTTTCTTAATCTTAAACTTCGACAAAAACTCTGAACGTACATGCACAACACACATACATGTATTCAAGAGAATCAATTATTTTTTAGTCGAAATGTACATGTACAAAACACTCATTATATTCACTTGCATCAGTTATCTATATATCTATATAGTGCTTTAATGAGTCGAAATATTTCCGTGAATGTGTAATGTGAAATGTATACGTTTATTAGTCCTGTTTCTCTCATCGCCATGTTGAAAGTGCCATGAAACCTCAAGAGCACTATTGAAATAACAGTCGCTCCTAAAAAAAAATAGTTCCCAAACATGGGTTTAAAAAAAAAAGAATTGTACATGCCCCTCGACCCCTGTCTTCGCTAATCTCTACAAATATGGTCCGTTGTAGCCTCCATACTAATGTCTTTTTAAACCTGATCAAAACAAAGCATGTCAATTCAAGTCCTGATAGCTTTACATTAACTTTTCAGAAATATTTCTTCAATTCTTATTAAATTGTTTGATTAATTATTTTAATTTCCAATCCTTTGACTCTATATCACTTGATCACTGAATAAAATTTGTTTTTCAAGTTAATTTTAAAAATCATATATTCCTTTTAACGTTAAGACCGTTTCTCCTAAAAATTAAAAAACAAAATGTAAAATAGATCTACAGTAAGTGATGACTTCCTAAATCTAGATTATAGGCCTAGAATAAAAACTGTTCAATCCAGGAAGTAACCAAACTCGCTCACCTGTCGGGTGCTCACCACAAACACCACAGAGCAAAATAGTCGTTATAAAGGCTGAAACAGTGTAAATTAAAAATTCCCCCATTGTAAGTTGTGAAATTGCTGGAACGGTTCTTCGTTATGGATACTTATAAACTAAATTAAGATCACGTGCAGATGACATTAAATCTACTTTCGGTTGAGATGATTCTGCGTCATTGGTGTTCTACGGAACACTGACCTCGTTAAAATTACGTATCTAGCAGTGTCTAGGCATTTATGTAAGTTGTTGGCCGCATCAGGATAATGATTTGAAGGACTGGGGATTCATAATTGGCGTACTAGGAATACATGTATTTAATTGTTAAAAATATGTAGACTTCCTGAGCATGACTACCCTAGCATAAACATATGAATGTCTATTTGATGTAAACTGTAAAAGGGTGGGTTATATTTGGTATTTTCCATTTTTTTTTCAAATATAAATAAGAAAAAATCATGCTCTTAAAACTCTGTTTTGTTTGCAGTGCATTCCAACGTGATTTTTCATTGGTATTTGTCATCGATTATGACGTCACATTCCTTAGTATGCTTACGTTGTGTTGTGGTTACCTCTCACTCTAGCGACATAAGTCAAATTAATCGGACGCATTCTTGCAACGCTCCCGTTTTTTCTGAAAATTCAGCTGCTCAGAGTAAAGAATTAACATAGAAGATGCATGAAAGTACAGATATGAGGGTAATGCCTCAAGCTGTTTGTTTTCTTTTGTGAAAAATCATTTAGAACTGATTTCATTAGTAATACATATTTTCTCGGGGAGGGATGAGAGTGGGGAAGAGAGATGTAAGGGGCTTTACTGAGGATATTCTGACATCGTAGCACCCATTCTTTCACACACACACCCATTGTCAGTATCTACTGGCTTTTTTTTTTATTATTGTACATGTATGTGTTTGCTTTTGCCGGAGGAACTCGTATGAAATCATGACTGTATATTTTATATTTATTTTATAAGATTAGTAAATTGATGTCCATCTTTTGTTGCTCATTATTTAGGTTTCAAAATATACTATACATTTATAATAAAGTAATTGAAATAAATATAATGCAATAAAATTCTTTCTTCCCAATAGGTTAAAAGAAACAGTTTTTCGTATATACTTGGTATGGAATAGAAAAGCAAAATATTTTCCTAGCTTTACATTATTTTGGACGTTGTTATTGACAACGTCAATTTGTTCTAGCTAAATACATCATGTAGTGCACGAAGAATGTAGGAATTTTAGGAGGGGGGGGGGGTAAATATATTTTTTACAAGTTTCATAGTTTTGAATTTCTTAAATTGCAAAACTTTAATGTAACACAAGCAAAGATGAGGGTGTTATCAGATCTCTCACAAGGATTTATTATGCTGAAAATTGATTGAAATTTTAGTTCAAAAGGCAATGTTTTGACGGTGATATAATATAGCCTATACATAGTTTATGACTATTTCTAACCAAAAAGAAAAAATGAATGATTTTCTTTGGAAGGGGATGGGGTGCGGGTGAGTAGTGATTACTGAGTTGAGTTGACTAAAAACAGACTCTGCGAACATATGCAGATTCTTGTATTTGCGACAAATTTTCAAAATAAACAATAAAGTAAGAAATAGTCAGGAAATCGGAGGAATTATCATGAAACTGTGTATTTAACAAATTGTCCTCAACACATCAAATGAGCACTTAAGCATGTTAGCCTATTACAATAAGTACTGGATTTTATTTATAATTTATAATCCCTCATTTACAGATCCAGAGATAATTCAGGTGCATGTTTATTGTCATGTATGTTATCAAACAGCTTAAAAAAAAGACTCCTTATAACTAAAAACAAGTACATACATGTCAGACATAATAGTATCGTTTTTGAAGGGCGGGGGGGGGGGTAATGAAAACTTACCTGAAAAACTTTAACAAGCAAAAAAATAAAAATTAAATAAAAAAAAAATAAATAAATAAATTGAAAATCCTTTTTCGTAGAGGTGAGGATAGGGGTTGTTCCAACTTTCCTTCACAACCTAATTATCAAATTATATTAAATACATTACCAAACTACCATGATTTAACCATGCTGCACCAAAAAGTTGGGGCGGTCTTTCAATGAACGTTTTCAAAAGTAAAACGTTATCTTTGGAAAATAGTGGGGGGGGGGGGGGGGAGCCCCCTCCCATTGTACTAAGTGCCATGGGCACGTAGTACAATGTTATGCTCTTTAATACATTTCAGAAGTGTGACGATCCAGCCAAAGCCTCGCCAGAAACCACTACTCCGCCATCCTTCGACGAGGTACGGTACAGAATTTTCATATACAAGTACAGCTTTATATTCGAAATGTAATTTTACAAACATGTAAAATTATTATGATCATAACCATTTGTAATAATGAATGGCTGGCATATGAGCGTATCCTTTTCTCTGTTTTGTAGGTTGTTGCCAAGTGGAGAAAGAGGCCATGGAGATACAACAGAGTCTGGCGGAAAGACCAGAAATGGACAAGAGAGGTGAATATAATATTTATACAGCTTTATATTCATAAATAACCGGTAAATGGATACATTGCCATTTTAACAGATAATAATTAAAATGCTGTTTTAGAAAAAATTCTGATACTAAATGCAAGCTTTTGATAACTTGATAAACACATCTATAAAGAGAGAGCGAGGGGGGTGGGGGTAACATGATGGAACACTTTTTTGATTATATATAAGCCATAGATCAAAATTACATGCACCTCCTTTGATTTTAGGGACTGACCCCTTCCGAACATCAGAAGGCGCCAATTGTCTCTAAGGAACAAAGTGATCAACCTACACGGGTGGTACCTGTACCCAAACAGGTGTGTTGAATGATAGTCAATCAATAAAGTCTCATTGTGTTCATCATCCATTTAATGTTTTTAATCCACCTGTAAAAGTGATAGATATGTAAGAAATTACAGCAAGTACATGATAATGATTTTTTTCTCAGAAGCTTGATGATCTCTCCAAAGAACTGGAAACCACAACTTCACCACCCTGGCCTGATGAGGTACGCTGTACAAATTTGACTAAATAATGTGATGGTTAAAATCAAAACAGGTGTATGTAATTCATAGACATTTATTTGAAAGTGTAAGATTAGTTTATCCAATGTTTAGGTACTTTTTGGTTATTAAAAGTATTAATGTTCATAATACATTCTTTGTATTGTAGGTTGTTCCCAAGCGACGAAAGAGACCCTGGAGGTACAACAAGGTCTGGAGTAAAGATCGGAAATGGACAAGAGAGGTGATATTCATCAACTTGGAAGGGGGGGGGGGGGTGACAATCTAAAATAATGAATAAAGAAAAGAATTGAATAGAATAATTATGCGAATAAAATAATTATGCGGTATTAATATGTAAATGGAGATTTTACAATTAAAAAAATAATTGTTATAAAGAAACATTTGTGATAAATGAAACACACTTCAGATAAATGGATATTTTTTAAACGCATCTTGGAGAGAGAGAGAATATGAATCATAAAAGAATCACTGAATGAAATAAACATAGTGTATTTTAGGAGCAGACTCAGCCACAGAAAGTACAACCCTCCGCCCCGGTACAAAAGGAGCAACCCACAAAGGTGGTACCAGTCAGAGCTCCCAAACAGGTACAATTGTAATTAATCAAGTGTATATTACCATGGAAACTTTATCTTTTTACATTTTAATCATATGAAGGTCGATAACCCGTATGACTGAATTTTTTTGGTTGAAAAAAAAAATCCACCTTCCTCATTGTATTGGGTTAGTTAAGGATTGGGGGTTTGAAACTGCCTCCCAAAACAACCATTTTATAGCCTATCCTTACATGAAAAAATATAAAGGTTTTACAGTATTATGAACTTATTTTTTAGCCTGAGCCACCCAAGTTTTTGAGAAGATACTGGCGAATCAACAGGTTTTGGAGGAAGGACATGGTGTGGACAAAAAAGGTAAACATACAATTGTCCTCTGCGAGTTGGACAGAAATTAAATCTTCTCAACATAATTATAAAATTTTGAGTCGTATATATCTTTATATCAAGAAACCATGTTTATATTAATATTATTACCAGTTCTCTGAGTTTAGAAATATAAACTTTCGAACATGGCGGGACTCTCAGACAACTTTGAGATATCTGAGAGCTCTAAATATCGAGTTTAGAATCCGTGATTGTAATGATGTTGGGATGGTCGATTCACCCATTTTGCAAGTTATTCGACATATCGGTGATCGAGATATCGGACTTTTAACATCAATTCTCTGTAAGGACCAAAATTTTACTGTAGGGCTGTGGCACACACCATGAGCGATTTTCATGAAACTTTTTCAGTTGATTAATGCCCATACACTATGACATAATCAACATTCAAAATTAAAGTTACTACCTTGGTTGCCATGGTAACGGGCCAATATAGATTTTGTCCCCATTTACTCTCAATTCAAGCATAAAAATGCTATATACTTGATTTCTTGTGGTTTAATCATCTTTATTATTTTGAGATAATTCATACATTATATGAATAGAACAAATGAAGCACTATATAACACAATAAAAAAAATTCTACAAGTCACCTGCAAATTCTTCAATTGATGGCTCAAAGATGACCAAATTCTTACATTTTGAAAATGGTCGTTTTTACCCTATATTTCAAGAAGTCTTTCAAGAAATGCAGGCAATTCAAGAAAAAATCACCTGAAATTTTAAAAACACCATAATAATATTAGTTAACTTTTATGAAAAGTGGAGTGGGGATTTTTTTCGTTTTCGGTATTTTTAACTTCGAAAATTGGCATTTTGCCAAATAATATTTTGTTCAAAATGTTACTAGACACTGGTTGTTTTATAAAATTTCTTTTCCAAACATTTTTCTCACTAATAAATAAGACAAACGGAATGATTAGTAAATATCATTAAAGATAATAAATAGGATAAAACAAAATTAAATGAATTATTATTGTTTCTCTATGATCCTTTACAAAGGGCAGATAACTCAAAATCTAATGAAAATTAGCTATTCAACTTTTCACTGGAACTTATTTCAGTAAACAACATTTTCAAATACTAGGTAAAAAATGGAAAAAGATAATGGATTAAAACTCTAATGATACTTTTCAACCAAAAATGATAAATAAATAATAAATTATTAGTTTTTCATGCATAGGTA